CATTGAACACTTTTACTTCCAATGCTGTCTCCCCCACAGGTGATGCGGGCTGGCTGCTTCAGTGTCACAGTCACTGATGGCGGCTGAGTCACCACATAGGAGGCCACAGTTTTCTGCAAGAGAGAAAAGGAAAGGTGGGTTGCCAGCTCCAGGTCTCAATTCAAAGAGAACCCCATGGCCTGACCTCAGCTCCAACAAGTCTCGGGAGTCTGTTTCTACCTCCCCTCCTCTCACCCCTGATACCCTGGGTATAACTGGTGGATGGGGCCTTTGAACAAAGGAGACAACATTAATTTTCCCTGGATCGGGGCAACCCCTCAGGCTCTCACAGAGTGAGTGAGCAAGTGGTAAGACTTCACTCCTCCAGCCTTTTCATTCAGGTCCTACCTTCTCCAGGCACCCTGTTCTGGACTCATGGTCATTTTTGGACTGGACCCAGAACCTTGGTGCTGCCCTGGGAGTGACCATGGCTCAGTACCTGTGCAGTAAGCCAGGAGGCTGAGGAGGAGGGGGGTCCAGGCCATGGTGGAGGCGCCCTGATTCTGCTCCCCAGGTTCCTCCCAGGCCTCTCTTATCCCCTTGCTGGAGACACCTGCTGGTCATGCAAATCAGCCAGGGCTCAGGGGCTCCTCCTGAAGAGCTTGTGTTTTGAGAGCAGGGCTCAGACCCAAGGGACAAGGACGTCGTTGGGAAGCCCCTTGAAGACCCAGCCTCAGACCCGGGGACTGTGCTTTAACCTCTGTGTCTAGTGGGGTCTGGTTTCCTCCTTTAGATTCTGTAGCCTTTGCACCTGGGAGACGCGAGGAGGCTGAGGGCAGTGCAGTGTCCTACCCAGATCCCTGTTTGTGAGCATCAAGCCTCAACAAAATTCTCCTCTTGCTAAGGGCACGTGGAGGTCCTGCGAGCCCTCTAGGTGTTGTAGCTTTCTGACTATGGGGGTAGTTCTGGGGCAGGACATAGATGCTGTACCCCAGTGTCCCCAGGGTGCACTCAGTGCCAGAGACAGATCCAGACCTTGAGCAAAGTCTGACAGTGACTGAGTATAGCAGGAATGGTGTTGACAGGAGAGCTGTGAAGTCCTGGAGCTGGGCTAGTGACAGAGGCAAATCTATGAGACCCCTGAGTCTGAGAGACACAGGTCAGAACTCACATCAGTGTCCAAGATTATACTGCAGAAATCCTGCACCTTTCCCCGCAGGTCTCAGGGCCCAGTGACTCAGCCCCCCTCCTGTTAGAACCTCTGATACCAGGCTCACTCCCTGTGCAGGTGGCTTCACCAGGTCATCTCTGCTGTCCCCTGGTGGACGCTCCTCACTGGCTGCTGGAGGCCCAGGGATATCCCTGGTCCAGGTGGGGATGGAGAGCCCACTGCTCACATCCTGGTTCCCTGCTCTTGCCTTGCTGACCCAGGGCAGAAGTTACTCTTCTCTTCATGGACCCTGACAGCCCCTCGACCAGGCAGGCGGTGATCAGATTCTCCCTGGACATTGGTATAAGCTCAGCTGAGGAGGTGACGGCCCCTGGGGCCTCAGAGCACACACTTCTGGGTTGTTGGGCGGTCATGGGTGGGGTGCAGGACTGGGTGCCTGGGGGACATAGGACGCAGAGACTGCCGCTTACTGGTGCAGACTCTGGGTGCTAGGCCCAAATAGGGTGGTGGTGGCTCCTGCTCCATATACAGGGATCTGAGAACACTCAGTGTACATTCATCCGACCCACTTTCTTCTGGGAGACATTCTGTCCTGGGGATCAGTGTGAAGGAGACAGAGGCCATGTGTCATGGATTTATGCTGTGAGTGGGGGAGCAGGGTGGACACCCTTGCTCTGGTGACACAGCACACAGTCTCTACCAGCTTCTCTCCTATATTCATACAATATCCAGACGATTGCCACATTGAGATCCCTCTGGGTCAGGATTGACCCTGTGATACAGCACTTGCCCAAAGAAGTGTCCGTGTCTGAGGTCCTTTCTGCGGACATTGCCTCTTTTGAGGGAAAGAATGAGACTAGACGAATACAGTGCCTTGCTCTTAAATACAAATATGATGCCTGGAGCTTCTGCAGCCCTCCTGACGTCCGTTATCTTCAAGAATGAAGAGCAAACCCTTAGTGATGGTGGAACAGAAAGGGAGAGGATTTGGGACCTCACGGATTTGGTGAAGATCTGGAGAACCACCATGTGGCTCAGACGTATTGTTAGGGGAGAAAATAGACTCCTGTGTGTTTGTGCCACTGATTGTCATTGGTATGTTTTGCATTAGAATATTCCTAACCAATAGGGAATATTATTACCAATAAATGACCCCAAATAAATCAATGGGTAAAATAACAATGGGGAGAAAACCATTCAGTAATTGTAAAGTACAGACTATGAAGATGGGAATCCGAGGGACAGGCTGACCCTGAGTGGGGGAGGTTGGAGGAGGCCTCTCTGGGAGGTGACACTGGGGCTGCTGTCTGGTTGGGAAGAAGAATCAGGTACTAGGACATGCGTTTGGGGACAGGTGATCAGTGTCTGCAGGGAGATTCCTTATGAGGGTAAAGGACTGTGACAATATAAGGTGTCTCTGATTCAAAACTCCTTTTATAGGTATTATTTTATTTTTTTAATTTGAAGATTTTATTTATATATTTGAAAAAAGGCACAAAAGTGAGCATGAGCACAGAGGGGAGATGGAGAGGGAAAAGCAGACGCCCTGCTGAGCAGGGGCCCGACAGGGGGTTCAGTCCCAGAATCCTAAGATTATGACGTGAGCAGAGGGTAGACTGAGTCGCCCCTGGGGACCCAAGGTAATATTTTCTTATAAGTGAAACTTTGGGGTCTTCCATGATGTGTTGTCAGAATTCATCCTACTGATTGTTTCTGGATTTGGTGAATCACAGGAGAGAATTCTGTGTGAATGTGGAGCAAACTAATGGGGAAGCAGCAGCCTTTTTAGCTGAAAGTCACTGTGGCTGATCTGCTGGGTCACCTGGCTGACAAAGGACACAGGTCACATTGCCATCGCTGTGCCTCCATCCTCCATCAGCTTCTGTCCCTGACCTGGGTGTGTGAGTTCAGCCTGACATCAAATACCTGTGACACAATCCTTTATATGATGTAGGTGTGCACATGTACAAATATGAAGGGACTTCTCAATCTGCGTGTGTAGAATATTTATTTGTCTCTGCTGTCTGTAGGCTTGTGGATAGATGTGTTGGATATACTAATGAAAAAATATACATGTGCTTTTTAATAGGTTCAGAACTTTAAAATGAGTTCTGGTGTTTGACTTGTGTGATCCCTGTTTGGGCAGAAACCACTAGGTCCACTTTATGACCCATGATAAATGAGTGTTGTTCCCATAGTGAACATAGGAAAAATGCCTAATCAGAATCATTGACAGAGATCATTGGTGTAGATGCTCCTGAGCAAAGGAGCTTCAGCTCCTGGTTTGAGTCTTACTGGAAATGAGGAGGGAGATGTGAGGACGAGTGGTCAGGACATCTCTGGACCTGCACAGCATAGATGAGTCAGCTCCCAGGGAACACTGGTGGACAGTAAGGACACTGGCATTTCCCAGAGGGAGCATTTGCAGGGACTCCCGTCAGTGCTGTGGGTGCTGCTGTGTGAGTCTGACTCTCAGGACATGGTCCCTACAGCCTGAGGAGATAGGATGGGTCATCCGCACTTTCTTCTGAGGATTTCACCTGGGAGCCCTGCTGACCCCCAGGCCTGGTGACCCTGGGCAGCCCCCCTGGGCATCCAAAGCCTCTGACCTGCTGATCTTGAAACACCTCTGCTGCCCCCTGCTGGTGGAAGAGGACTCAGCCCTGGAGCTTCTGTCCTGCAGGTCACCTGAAATCACCAGTTACCTGAGGAAGGGTGTGGACCAGGGATTCAAGGCACGCATTGGTAGATGCTCCCTCTGCCCTGTCCGTCAAGGCACAATCAGGACAATGACAAGGGCACAGAGGAAGGGCAGGTGAGATTTCTGTACCATGTCCCAGTGTTGGAATGCCCTGGCCTGGCCCATTGTTAAAGAGGGAAAGCAGGGTAGACAAGAGTGCATTTGCCCAGGGTCATGGTCTAGGACACCTGTGTGATACCCTATAGCCTCCTCTTCTCTGTGCACCTAGGAATCCAGTCTGATGATTCTGCATCCCAGTTAGTGCACTTGGGTCATAGTGGGAGTAGGTGATGCTCCTGCACTAATGTTCACGTGGGCACCTAAACTTTATTACTGTTACTACACTCTGTGCTGCTGTTTTTACTATGACCTGCAGCTCTTGGAGTTTGGGGGGAGGATATCTTCACTAGCATAGTTGGGCGTTTGGATAAAGTTGGAAATCTGCTCTTTTAGAACAGGACATACAAGTTCATATCATACACTTCCCACTTTTTTGAGCCCTTTGCCTTGGATTTCTGTGGAGGATGGACCAGGGCCCTCAGCCAGGCCCACTCACTGACACCTGGCTGAGGCTCTGTTTCATTAGTAAGACTCTATCAATGTTTTTATATCATTTAATTTGAAAACTAAGTGTTTCTGACATCATTTTAATCGTCCCCATTTCATAGCAAATCAAGTTGAGGCCCAGAGAGGCTGGCTTCCCAAGAATAGAGGATATTGGGCAAGCGGAGGAGTGGGCCCAAGTGTGCTGGTTTCACCTCTGGGCTCCTTGACACAGAGCTTGAGCAGAGCTGGAGGATGCAGGGTGAGGGCAGGCTGGGCCCCAGGGCTTGTGTCCCTGGACTCACTGCCATCCACATCCTGGCTGGTCTATAAAGGAGCCCAATGCCTTCCGGTGGGGAGGGTTAGTCATGTGGTGGCCCAGGACAGAGCAGGAGATCCTGTGGGGATGGTGGAGGCTGGTTGGCTGTGTAGGGCCTGGCCTTAGTCCTGCTGGCTCTGCTCCCCAATATTGCTTGGGCCTCTCTTTTCTGAGTAGGTGGACATGACAAGAGTCATATGGTGACTCTCCCGGGACACAGTTCATAAGGATTCTTAGGGTCTGTGGCTTCAAGAGACTTTAGGTCTTAATGTCAGGTATGTCACTCCTGCAGTATCCCCCGGGCAGATGTCATGGTCAGGGTGATGCACAGGGTCCTGTGGGGTCTGAGCCTGTGACAGGGCCTGGGAGCCAGAACCTGGGCATAGAGCAGTGTAAGGGAGCAAGAGCCTCTATGCCATGATGGAGACCCCAGATTGTCTCCTGAGCCCACAGCTGATCCTGGCCACCCATCGCCTCCCTCATGCCCTCACTGGACCCTGGGAAAATGCTCCTTCTCAGGCTGCTGGAGAGAATTCTATGTTTCAGGGAGGACTTCATTGATCTGGTCCATGAGGGGCTTGCCCCTCTGTTGGCGTCATAGGGGAGCCCTTGTCATTCTGTATTTGAAATTCTAGAAGATGGAGCGACAAGGGGCATTTCTATAGCTGTTCTCATGAAATGTTTCTTGTGAATTTATCTTTTCTTTTTGTGCATATGAAAAACATAAAAGAAAATATTCGTACCTAATTATTTTTCAGGATTCAATTCATCCCCCATATTTCCTATGTGCTCCATAGAGTGTTCCACGTCTCACACTGTGGAGCAGAATTGGGAGGAATTGCCCTGAAATTTGAATTGGATTTGAGTGTCCTTTCCTTTACTGGAGGTTTTTTGTTTGCAACATCCCCTTAGATATTACAGTTAAACTAAGTTCCATAATCTCGTTATTTTATCTTTAAATTTAAACTGAATTAATGAACACAGAGGATATTATTAATTTCAGAGGTAGAGTTCAGTGATTCATCAGTTGTATATAATGTCGAATGGTTTGGGTGCCCGGACATCTCAGTCGTTAAGTGTCTGCCTTTGGCTCAGGTGTCGATTCTAGGGTCCAGGGATCCAGCGCCACACTGGGTTGCCTACATATGGTGGGGTATTGTCTTCTCCTGCCTCCTCTACCCTGAACTCTTGCTTGCTCTCTCTTTCTAGTGCCCTCTTTCTCTCAAATAAACAACAAAAATAAAAATAAAACAAAATTGGTGGGAATGTGAACTGGTGCAGCCACTCTGGAAAACTGTGTGGAGGTTCCTCAAAGAGTTAGAAATAGACCTGCACTATGACCCAGCAATTGCATTGCTGGGGATCGACCCCAAAGATACAGATGCAATGAAATGCAGGGACACCTGCACCCCGATGTTTCTAGCAGCAACGTCCACAATAGCCAAACTGTGGAAGGAGCTTCGGTGTCCATCGAAAGATGAATGGATAAAGAAGATGTGGTCTATGTATACAAAGGAATATTCCTCAGCCATTAGAAACGACAAATACTCACCATTTGCTTCGACATGGATGGACTGGAGAGTATTATGCTGAGTGAAATAAGTCAATCAGGGAAGTACAAACATTATATGGTCTTCTTCATCTCGGGAATATAAAAATTAGTGACAGGGAAAAAAGGGGAAAGGAGAAAAACGAGTGGGAAATATCAAAACGGGAGAAGGAACATGAGAGACTCCTAAATCTGGGAAACAAACTAGGGGTAGGGGAAGGGGAGGTCTGTGGGGGTGGAGGTAACTGGGTGACAGACACTGAGGGGGGGCACTTGATGGGATGAGCACTGGGTGTTATTCTATATGTTGGCAAATTGAACACCAATAAAAATAAATAAAAAAAGATGTCCATCAACAGATGAACAGATAAAGAATATCTATGGAATATATATATAAATATATATAATGTATAAATAATATTAATATATATTAATATGTATATAACATATATATATCATGAAATATTACTTGGCCATCAGTAATGATGAATTCCGACCATTTACATCAATGCGGGTAAAAATGGAGGGTATTAGGCTCAGTGAAATCAGTCAATCAGAGAAAGATGATTATCATATGTTTCACTCAAATGGGGAACTGTAAGAAATACAAGGGAACAAAAGGTAATAAGGGGTATGAGTGGGGGAAAAATCAGAGTGGAAGAAAAAGCAAAAGACTCTCTTAAATGTGGAAAACAAACTCTGTTGCTGATGGGGAGTTGCATGGGGGGTGTGGGACGGCTTGAAGGAGGGCACATGATGTGATGGACCCGGGTTTTGACTGCCAAGGGGCTTGGGGAATGTATGGGTAATGATTCATCAGTCATATACCATGATTGTAGAGGTGATTACACTGCTCTGTACTTTTTCTGAAACTCACACGTGTTTGCTTAGGATAGATTTTACTGTATATACCTTATAACTCAATAAAAAAAGGGAATGAAAAGAATATGAAAGGAAAACAAGAAGAGAAAATTAAACAAAAAGTTATGGTAGGCAAAGATTCCCACGAGCATACTTTCACTTAGAGAGTGCTGTGCAGGAAATCTAGATCTACAGGAAACACACGCCTGAGTAAAAGAAAAGATGAAGAAGCAGGCATGAGCAGAGAACTACAGTGACGTGTCAGATTGTCCCAGCCAGGGCTGCAGTAGAACCTCCGGGAGCCCTGGTGCTGGGTGTGTTTTCCAGAGTCATAGAGAATAGTAGGTAAAGGTCCTGCTTCTCGGCCACCCCCATGAAGGGGTCACCAGACACAGGCTGCAAACAAGAAGGGGGCAAGGGGGCATGTCCCTGCTGTGCCAGCTCTCTTCAGCAGAACTAATTCCTGGAGCAGCAGTTTCCAACAAACCTCACCTCTGGGGAAATGAGGGCTTCAAACCTGTAGATAAAGGTTAGGAATTCTGGTTGTCACCCATGAATTCTAGACAATGACAGACTCAGTATCATTATTTTTGCTGTTGTGACCCATGGAGAATCAAGTCAGGCGGGCAGACAGATGCACAAACATACATGCTCTAGGGCAGAAAAAATGTGTGAATAGAATACATGTAAAGGGAACACACAGTATAGGACAATGAATTAAGCAGAATTCAGTAGGAGATGACTCTTGGATAATACTCCAGACATCTCTAGAGAAAGACATTGAAAGTGAGAACTTTTGTTTAGAGTGAGAGCAGAGGGATGGGGGCAAGGATTAGGGACGAAGGGTGGGAGATGCAGAATGGGGAGGGATGGGGGTGTTGGGAGAGTATATCTCATGAACATACTCTCACTGTTGGCTCAGCCTGCCTGGCCTCTCTTGACAAATGTCAGTGGCATCACCTCCATCTCTCCTCCTGGCTATTCTTGTCACCTGTTTCAGGCGCTCCTTCTGTTAAATTATAAATAGCTCATGAAGCCCTTAAGATCCCTGAATGAGACAATGATGATAAAGGACTTCCAATCTGGAGGACTCTGCTAAGGTCACAGGCTACACAAGAACTTTTGACATAAATTTTCATTCCTGGTCTCAGGATCTCCAGGCAACCTGTGAAGCCAACAGGCACCAAATGTCCAATCGGCAAGTGACACTCATTCTTGAAGCTGTTCATTACTTAATTTCACATGACCAAAGCTGACCAGTGGTCTCTGACTGTGACCTTGATCCAGTTTTAAACTTGACAAACAGAAATGACCACTAAGGAAATCCTTTGAACCCTTTCAACCCAGGCTTTGTACTTGTCATTCCCTCACTGGTTAGTTATCATCTAAGGACAACAGGGAATGCTCTTTATCTCCACCCCTTTTTCATTCACTGTCATCACTTCTACAGTTTGTCCATCTATCTGTCCATTCAAACTATGGGGTTACTTTTGTTCCCCACATTATAAACACCAGAAGGCCCAGGTGAGCTATGAAGTGGCATGATTCATACTACAGTTTTGAATATTATTTCCCTACAGTCCTCTTGATTACCTTCCCTACCAATGGAAGTCGTGGAGAAAAATCCCATTAAAGTCACCTGTGGGAGGCATTTTGCAAGCACTTGGTAGAGAATAATCTTTTATTGAGTGAGCAGGAGTTTCTTGGGATCCTTTGTGACTCCAGCCAACCACAAGCTAGAAAGAGACACTACAATTCTGAGCCCTGGTGTTCACCTCTCGTCCCACTCCTCCTGCATCTCTGCCCACACTCTCTCTCAAGAAAAACTCTACCTTCACTCTTCCTACCTACTTGGGAGTTGTCCGTTATGGGCTGCTCCTGGATTTTCCATCTCTGAGATCCATCACTAGGGGGTACCCAACATGAATTTCTGTGGTCCAACACCAAAATCTCTCCCAACCCTGCTCAAGTCAGTGCCCAGGGAACAGGGTTACCTTCCTTGATACAACTGCTGAACATTAACCCAAAAGTGTGGGTGTACATGAAAATGCTTGGTTTTTAAATGCTTAAATGATAGGGGAAAACTACATACCCAGTAAACTTGCCCCAGCTCCAAAATATGATTAGAGATGGATCACTCATTGGGTTCAGATTCAAGGGAGTTATTATATTTATCATTGCAATGCTCCCCCTTCCATTCTATTTGATGTGGTCCCAGGGAGAACCTGGAAAAGTCCTGTAGGGAGCATGTGGACCACTTCCTGGCACCAGAAGTTAAGAGTCAACTATAGATGGAGAAACCCATGCCATGCTCCATGGTGGTCTTGCCACAGACATCCTAACATACCACTATGTTCCTAATCAGGTCCCAGCTTTGCACCCATGATGGACTCAGGGTCCTCGGTCCTGTCTAACTCGGGGATCTAATGTTGCCTTTTCAATGTTCAACACTACCAAGTGTCCAATTATACTTCATGATGAAGTGACAGCGAAGATATTCACTGAATCGACCTCCTCCATCAACACCACAACCCTGAGATCTCTGTCCATTCCTTGAATAGGGACCCATCATGGATGCACTGGGTCTGATGGCTCATGGGGTCATGTCAGCTCAGATATCCTGTAGACTCAATTTCTTGCCTGAGTAGTTCGGGTCTTTTCAAGAGTTATGGAGAGGAAAGAGAATGTTCTCTGCCAAAATTACCTAAATTTTGACCTGCCTCTTGGAACAGAGGTACAGCATGACAGAGTTTGCAAGAAGAGGCATAGGTCTCAGGGCCCTGGAGAAGGACAGGCGGCAGCTCCCCCTGAATCCCCACAGGGAAGAGAAGAGAGAGGGTGAGAGGTTTTGTGCTCACTTCCCCATTTGTCTGTGTCACTGTGACTACTGCTATCATCGGGTGCAAAGCAGTAATAATCTGCCTCATCCTCAGACTGGATGTTGGAGATGGTTAAATAGCGGTCAGCCCCAGAGCTGGAGCCTGAGAAGCGACTGGGGATCCCGTCCCCCCTGCTGTGGCTTCCATCACTGTTAACCTTCATCAGATACCGAGGGGCCTTCCCTGGTTCTTGTTGTTGATACCAGGTAATATAGTAACTGCTGTGCTCACTGCTCAGAGTGCAGGTGAGCTTGACTGAGGCTTCCAGGGAGGCAGATGCACTTGGTGGCTGGGTCAGCACGGGCAAAGCACAGAAACCTGAGAATACAAAAGACAAGAAAGATGTTGAATGTAGCACACCTGGGCCAGGGGAACAGGGCTTCTGTGCTTGAAGGGAAAGATCAGGGAAGGGGAATCCCGACCTGTAGAGAAAATGAAGGGCAGGAGGTAAAAGGGGACCCAGTCCATGGTGGGGAGAGGCTTCAAGGAGTTCCGCTCTGAGACTTCTCACCCGGGTCTGTACTCTCCAACACCCATCTCATCCTCTTTGTGCAGTTCAGAGAAGGAGGAGCATCAGATGCAAATCCATTCTCTGTTCTTCCATATGTCTGTTGAAATAAGCTGTTGTCTGAACCCTGTACCCAAGAGCTTCAGACTGGTAATTTCTAGAGTTCAGAAGAAGGACCAGGTGTGAGATTCAAGAGTGGAGAGATGATTTTACACAACACAAGTATCTTTACAGGAAGCAGCAGTCACATTCTTTGCACTGGAGCATACACAAGGGGATTTGGACTAATTGGGGTCACAAACCAAGACCCACAGTTCCCTCTGTTGTACCCTGGGAGAATGTCACCCTACATGTATTGGCAGTTCCTCATAATAACTCCTTTTGAGTCCCCAAGAGATGCTAGACCCTTGATGAGTGTTTATATGCTCCACCTCAATGAGGAACTAAGCAAAACAGCTGCATGCTTCAGGCACAAATGTTCCACTAGTTGTTTAAATGAGGACATTAAGATTGACAGAATGTTTTCTCACCCTCACCGAGTGATGAGCAAGTCGTTTCCAATGCAGGACACAACCCAGAGCCCGAGTTACCATCTGTCCCTGCCCTGCCCTCTTACCATACTCCTTCTCCCCTCATCCTAACGTTTTTGGTACCCTCCAATCATAATCCTCTCTTCTTTCTTCCAGTGTCTGTCCTCCGTGAGTCTGTTTGGAAGGGTGCTGAGATCTTCATGGTGTTGGAGTTAGTGTGTCCTTGTGAGAAACAGCTTGTTGGCTGTGAGTCTATACTGCAAGTACATTTACCCTAAAGAAACCTCATTCATTGAACCTGCACTAACGTGCAGCTACAAGGTGTAGATAGATGCTGAGAATGAAATGTGCCTAGTCCCAATAGATATTGTCTGTAGATATGAAGAATCCATGAGATTTCAAAGACTTAGTATAAAAATAATGTAAAATACATCAATGTTTTTACCTTTAATTCATATTGGATTATAGTTTCAAGTAACAGAACTAATCAAACTGTACTATGAAATCAAATGCTATTCATTTTTTTCTCTTTTTCACAATGTAGCTGCTACAAAACTTTTCCCAATGTATTGTTTTGAATTTGATTTCTTTTTTTAGAAAGATTTTATGTATTTATTCATGAGAAACACAGAGAGGGAGAGAGAGGGAGGACACCGGCAGAGGTAGAAGCAGGCTCCATGTAGGGAGTCTGATGTGAGACTGGATCCCAGGTCTCCAGGATTATGCCCCGGGCAGGAGGCGGTGCTAAACTGCTGAGCCACCCAGGCTGCCCTGAATTTTATTTCTGATGGCCCAGCTGCTCTGCAAAGCCCCAGTAGCAGTTACTTGCTTTTGGAAAAAAGTGAGAGAATCTTTTGGAGCATTCAAAATAGGCCATGTCGTAGCTTTGAAAGCACAACGAGAGGCCACAATTTGGTGGTGAAGACCAGGGATTCGGGGGATCAGAAGATCTTGATTTTCTGCTGGATTGGCCACTTTCTAGCTTTGACCTCAGGCAAGTTACACATCCTACATGCCTCAGCTTCTGCACCTGCAAATTGGGGTGATGATCAGAATGCTTATTCATAGAGTATTTGCGATTAAAGAATTCAATAAACGTGAAGTTCTTGGAATTGTGCTTCATATGTGTTAAGCACATAAAAAAATTTTACTCCTTCTTCCCCTTTTTATGTCCTTTATCCTTAAACATAAAGAATAGTCATTGGGGTTTAGAGGATGAGGGATAGTATGGAAACACTGTATGTCTTAGGTTTGAGACATTGAAAATTGGCAGATTTCCTGAAAACTCTAAAATCTCTCTCACTCTCACTCTCTGGCACTGTCTCTCTGTCTCTACTCTCTCTCTCTCTCTCTCTCTCTCTCTCACACACACACACACACACACACACACAAAGAAACATTCATTTGGGGAATATAAATAATAGTGAAAGGTAATAAAGGGGAAAGGAGAAAATATAAGTGGGAAATATCAGAAAGGGAGACAGAACATGGAAGACTCCTAACTCTGGGAAACGAACCAGGGTGGTGGAAGGGAAGGAGGGTGGGGGGTGGGGGTGACTGGGTGGCGGGCACTGAGGGGGGCACTTGACGGGATGAGCACTGGGTGTTATTCTGTATGTTGGCAAATTGAACACCAATAAAAAATAAATTTATTATTAAAAAAAGAAACACATATACTACACCACAGGCCATGAGAGGCACTTGCCTTTGTCATAGGTCACAGGAGGCACATCCTCTCAGGCTGCTGTCCTTCTTTCGTTCTTGCTGGGTCTTTGGGACAGGGATATTGTCCGGGTTCTCTATAAGAAACAAAGCCAACATGGGTTTCCCAGCAGAGTTAGAGCAGGAGGAGTATTTATGCTGGTCCACACTGTGCCATATGTGTCTTCTTATCCGGGTTGTCTCACTGGAGTTGGCCCTACTTGTAGCCTCCTAGCCCTAGGAAGGATAACATAGTTGTGTAGAAACTACCACCCTAAATCCCAGGGTTTGACAGTCAGTGTGCGTCCTCTGACTCGACCACAGAGGGCAGCATGGCTGGGTGGACAGGGGTGGTCTGATGGGCCTCAGGCTGGGGTTGTTGGAACTGAGGGAAGAGACCCTTGGACAGACAGACCAGGACACCTCTCAGTGACCCCCTCTGGGGGCCAGAGAAGCACAAGAGGCCTTAAACAGGCTCTAGACATGCCATGTCCACAGCAGAGCTGAGGTGGGCTCAGGAGGACCTAGACCTGCAGATGGAGAAGCAGATCAGCTTCGTGTTCTGTGGGGACTCCATCACCAAGGCAGCTGGCACTAGACCCCACCTACGATGGTTAGGAGATCATTTTCTCACTCATAATCTGACTGGGAGAATGTGGAGGCCACTCTAGACACGTTAGTCATTCGCTCACTGTGGAGAAAATCAGAGAGCAAGGATGGGCCTGGATGTCAACATTGAGGCATGGGCCATTTAGGAGATGGTCAGGGTTTCTCCGGGGCTGTCGGTTATGCTCCACCTGAGCCTGGGGAACTTTGTGGCACCCATTCACCTGCAGAATCCCCAAGGGGAGGCAGAGCCCAACCATAGCAGAGACACTGGTGTATTGAATTATGTACCCCCACTCCCAGATTCAGATGTTTAAAACCCAAGCCCCAGTATCTCTCGCTGGGACCTTCTTATTGAAGAGGATCATGGCAAATGTAATCAGGTAAAATAAAAAGGTTGCTATGGAGGAGGCGGCCCTAATCCATTTACATGGTGTGCTTATAAAAACACAAATTTGGAGACAGACTCTGTGAAGGAAAAACACCATACAAAGATAGAGAAGGAATCTAGAAGCCAAGGAATGCCAAACATTGCCAGAAAACCACCAGTAGCTAAGAGAGTCATGAAACAGATTCTCCCTCACAGCCTCCAAAATAGGCAGAAATCTGTTGGCATCTAGATCTCAGAATGCTGACCTCCAATCTGTGGGAAAACGTTTTTCCAATGTCAGTTGCGCCCTGCCTCCAGCTTGTGGTGCTCCATTATCTCAGCCCTAGCAAACTACTACAGTCACTCCTCCGAAGTCTGCTTTCTGGGCATCAGCAGCATGGCTGGGCTCCTTCCAGTGGTGTTACTCTCTGTTTCACAGCCCTGGGAGGGGCATCCTGTCATGTGCTTTCCTCCCCTAGAGTATTGGATTTTCTTTCCCCAGAGGCTTGCTTCAATCCCCAGACAGGCTGACTAAGGCTCCTATTGGGATCCATTCTGTCTGGGGTTGTGCTGAGATTGGTCAGGGAGAAATAGAGCAGGTCCCTGCTTCCTCCAAGCAGCCAACAGGTCAGAAAATGAACCTTGGCCTCCAAATTTTGGTATCACATGATGTTCCTGGAATTGGAACACAAGCACTGTCCGATGATTTCTCTCGGGTTGTGGAGTTGGGCCGGCACAGGGCCTTCCAAGAGGTGGCCATGGGGATGAAATGGTCGCTCCTGGTGCTAAGTGCAGTTGAGCAGGCAAATCTTTCTCTTTATTGTTATTACTACTATCTCTATTAAACTTATTGATATTCCAACCCATATCTCCTGGAGTCTGCTGTGGGAAGAGTTGTACACTAGTCTATTTGGTGTCTGGGGAAGTTGGGAAACGGCTCATTCAGATGGGGATCCAACTGTAAATGGTACAGGTCACAGTGCAGCTGAAAATTTTCCCTTGGATTCCAACAGAGGAAGACAACAGACTCCAACGCCAAGGTTACCTCACTGAGACTCCCCTGAGCTGTTGTCATTAAAGAGACACTTCAATGTTTTGTAGTGTTTAACGTGAACTGAAGCGTTTTCTCATTGAGAGTGAGTGTCATCATTTCACTGCAAGTAAACCAGAAGCCCAGAGAGACTAGGTAACCAGGAAAATGGCGTATGTTGAGAGATGCAATCTAGATGTCCCAGATTCAAACCCTGAGTCCCGTGGGGCTGAGCTGGACTAGGTTGGAAAGAAGGGAGTGTGGCCTAGGCTAGACAATAGGGCTTATGTCCCCCGATCACTGCCATCCCCATCCCAGCTGATCTCTAAGGAGTCCCCTCACCTTGCATTGGAAGGGTCAATGGCATCATGTTCCAGGATAGAAATGGAGAATCTGTGGGGCTGGTGCAAGCTGTTTGGCTGTGCTGGGCCCTGGTCTGGGTCCTGCTGGCTCTGCTCAGCATTACTGCTTGGTCTTCTAGCACTGCTCTCCTGGGCCAGTGAGAAAGACAGGGATCTCGTGACCCTCTCCAGGGGGCAGTTGTGTCTTACAGGTGACCAGAGGGCCTGCAGTTTCTGGAGATTCTGGGGGTCCAGCATGCCCTTCTGGACTGAGCTCAGGGTCGGGGTCATGCTCAGGGTCCTGTGGCGGCTGAGCCTGTAGGCAGGTCCTGGGAGGCAGCACATGGGCAGAGAGTGTGTAAATTAAAACTTGGGGACTGCAGTGATGTGTTGCCAGAATTCATTCTACTGATTGTTTACAGTTTCAGTGAATCCCAAGAATGGATCCTGTGTGAACCTGGAACAAATAAAGGGGAATCAGCAGCCTTTTTGTAGCTGACAGTCACCGTGGCTGATCTGCTGGCTCAACTGGCTGACATAGGACAGGGGTCACATGGCATGTCTGTACTTCCATCCTCTGTCAGCTTTGTCTCCTGGGCCAGGTGTGCGTGTTCTGCGAGACAGATTCCTGTGACACATCCCTTAATATGATATATTTGTGTATGTGCTCAAATATTAATCACACTCAATATATGTCCGTAGATAGATTTGTCTCTGCTATCTATGCTTGTAGATGGATGTGTGTGTTTATACATACACACAAACAAACATATATCAATATTTTTAGGGTTTCAGAACTTTAAACTGGGTCCCAGAGTTGTTCTTCAGGTGATCTTTGGTTGGGAAGAAACCACCAGCTCCACTTTATGACCAATGATGAGCGAATGTTGTTCCTACAACGAACAGTGGGGTAAATGACTAATCAGAATCATTGACAGAGATCATTGGTGTGAGATGCTCCTGAGCAAAGGAGCTTCAGCTCCAGGTCTGGGTCTTTCTGGAAGTGAGGAGGTAGATATGAAGGTGAGTGGTCAGGACCCTGACTGCCCAGCACAGAGAAGTCTGCTCCCTGGGAGCACTCTTGGACAGTAAGGACACTGGCATTTCCCAAGGGGAGCATTTTCAGGGACTCCCGCCAGTGCTGTGGGTGCTGCTGTGTGAGTCTGACTCTCAGGACATGGTCCCTACAGCCTGAGGAGATAAGATGGATCATCTGTATTTTCTTCTGAGGATTTCACTGGGGACCCCTGCTGACCCCCAGGCCTGGTGTCCCTGGGAGGCACCTACTGGGCAGCCCCAGCCTCTGTCCTGCTGCTCCTGAAGCACCTCTGCTGCCCCCTGCTGGTGGAGGAGGACTCAGCCCAGGAGCTGCCTTCCTGCAGGTCACCTCACAGCACCTGTCACCTGAGAAATGTGAGGACCAGGGATTGCTACCTCAGAGGCAGCTGTACCCCCACTAACCTGCCCTGCCTCCACACTCAGGACATTGACAGGCACATGGAAGGAGGGTAGGCGACATTCATGTACCATGTCCCAGTGTTGGACTGCCCTGGCCTGGCCCATTGTTACATTTTTTTTTTTTTTTTTACTTTTTTTTATTGGAGTTCAATTTGCCAACATATAGCATAACACCCAGTGATCATCCCGCCAAGTGCCCCCCTCATTGCCCATCACCCAGTTACCCCAATCCCCCTCACTTCTCCTTCCACTAACACTTGTTCATTTTCCAGTTAGGTGTCTGTCATATTTTGTCACTCTCACTGATATTTTCACTCCTTTCCCTTTATTCCCTTTTACTAATTTTTATTTTTATTTATTTGATTTTTTTAATTTATTTTTTATTGGTATTCAATTTGCCAACATATAGAATAACACCCAGTGCTCATCCCATCAAGTGCCCCCCTCAGGGCCCGTCACCCAGTCACCCCCACCCCCCGCCCACCTCCCCTTCCACCACCCCTAGTTAATTTCCCAGAGTTAGGAGTCTTTCATGTTCTGTCTCCCTTTTTGATATTTCCCACTCATTTTTCTCCTTTCATCTTTATTCCCTTTCACTATTTTTTATAATAAATCTATTTTTATGGTGTTCAATTTGACAACATATAGAATAACACCCAGTGCTAATCCCATCAAGTGCCCCCCTCAGTGCCTGTCACCCATTCACCCTCACCCCCCGCCCTGCTCTCCTTCCACCATCCCTAGTTCGTTTCGTAGAGTTAGGAGTCTTTATGTTCTGTCTCCCTTTCTGTTATTTCCCACACATTTCTTCTCCCTTCCCTTATATTCCCTTTCACTATTATTTACATTCCCCACATGAATGAGAACATACACTGTTTGTCCTTCTCCGATTGACTTACTTCACTCAGCATAATACCCTCCAGTTCCATCCACGTTGAAGCAAATGGTGGGTATTTGTCGTTTCTAATGGCTGAGGAATATTCCATTGTATACATAGACCACATCTTCTTTATCCATTCATCTTTCGATGGACACTGAGGCTCCTTCCACAGTTTGGCTATTGTGGACATTGCTGCTATAAACATTGGGGTGCAGGTGTCCTGGCGTTTCACTGCATCTGGATCTTTGGGGTAAATCCCCAACAGTGCAATTGCTGGGTCTTAGGGAAGATCTATTTTTAACTCTTTGAGTAGCTTCCACACAGTTTTCCACAGTGGCTGCACCAGTTCACATTCCCACCAACAGTGCAAGAGGATCCCTTTCTCGAGATCCTCTCCAACTTTTGTGGTCCTGCCTTGTTTATTTTCCACATTCTCACTGGTGTGAAGTGGTATAGAAGAACCACTGACTTCTGGGCATTGATTTTATATCCTGTCACACTGCTGAATTGCTGTATGAGTTCTACCAAACTTGGGGTGGAATCTTTTGGGTTTTCAATGTACAGTATCATGTCATCTGCGAAGAGGAAGAGTTTGACTTCTTCTTTGCCAATTTGAATGCATTTTATTTCTTTTTGTTGCCTGATTGCTGAGGCTTGTACTTCAGGTACTATGTCGAATAGCAGTGTTGAGAGTGGACATCCCTGTCTTGTTCCTGATAATTAGGCTCCCAGTGTTTCCCCCATTGAAAATGATACTTGCTGTGGGCTTTTCGTAGATGGCTTTTAAGATGCTAAGGAACGTTCCCTCTATCCCTACGCTCTGAAGAGTTTTAATCAGGAATGGATGCTGTATTTTGTATTTCTCTGCATCTATTGAGAGGATCATATGGTTCTTGTTTTCTCTCTTGCTGATTTGATCCATCACATTGATTGCTTTATGAGTGTTGAAGCAGCCTTGCATCCCGGGGATAAATCCCACTTGGTCATGGTGAATAATATTCTTAATGTATTGTTGCATCTTATTGGCTAGTACCTTGTTGAGAATTTTTGCATCCGTGTTCATCAGGGATATTGTTCTATAATTTTCCTTTTTGGTGGGGTCTTTGTCTGGTTTTGGAATTAAGGTGATGCTGGCCTCATAGGATGAGTTTGGAAGTACTCCATCTCTTTCTACCTTTCTGAACAGCTTTAGTAGAATAGGTATTATTTCTTCTTTAAACATTTGATAGAATTACTCTGGGACGCCTCTGGCCCTGGATTTTTGTGTCTTGGAAGATTTTTGATGACTGCGTCAAATTCCTCCCTGGTTATCGGCCTGTTCAGGTTTTCTATTTCTTCTTGTACCAGTTTTGGTAGTTTCTGGTTTTCCAGAAATGTGTCCCTTTCTTCTAGATTGCCTAATTTATTGATTTATAGCTGCTCATAATAAGTTTTTCAAATCGTTTGTATTTCCTTGGTATTGGTGGTGATTGCTCCTTTCTCATTCATGATTTATTAATTTGCGTCTTTTCTCTCTTCTTTTTAATAAGTCTGGTTAATGGTTTATGTATCTTATTAATTCTTTCAAAGCACCAACTCCTGGTTTTGTTGATCTGTTCCACAGTTCTTCTGGTCTCTGTTTCATTGAGTTCCGCTCGAATCTTTTTTTTTTTTTTTTCCGCTCGAATCTTTATTAACTCTCTTCTTCTGCTGGGTGTAGGATCCTTTTGCTGTTTTTTTCTCCAGCTCCTTTAGGTGCAAGTTTCGCTTTTTTTTAAATTTTTATTTATTTATGATAGTCAGAGAGAGAGGCAGAGACACAGGCAGAGGGAGAAGCAGGTTCCATGCACTGGGAGCCCGACGTGATATTCGATCCCAGGTCTCCAGGATCGCACCCCGGGCCAAAGGCAGGTGCCAAACCGCTGCGCCACCCAGGGATCCCCCAAGGTTCGCTTTTGTATTTGAGTTCTTTCCAGTTTTTGGATGGATGCTTGTATTGCGATGTATTTCCCCCTCAGGACTGCTTTTGCTGTATCCCAGATATTTTGTTGTTTTTTTTTTTAATTTTTATTTATTTATGATGGCCAGAGAAAGAGAGAGAGAGAGAGAGAGAAGCAGAGACACAGGCAGAGGAAGAAGCAGGCTCCATGCACTGGGAGCCAGACGTGGGATTCGATCCCGGGTCTTCAGGATTGCGCCCTGGGCCAAAGGCAGGCGTCAAACCGCTGCGCCACCCAGGGATCCCTATCCCAGAGATTTTGAATGGTTGTTTCTTCATTCTCATTAGTTTCCATGAATCTTTTTAATTCTTCTCTTATGTCCTGGTTGACCCTTTCATCTTTTAGCAGGATGATCCTTAACCTCCACGTGTTTGAAATCCTTCTGAACTTCTTCTTGTGATTTAGTTTTACTTTCAAAGCATTATGGTCTGAAAATATGCAGGGGATGATCCCAATCTTTTGGTATCAGTTAAGACCTGATTTGTGACCCAGTATGTGGTCTATTCTGGAGAAAGATTCATGTGCACTTGAGAAGAATGTATATTCAGTCACGATTGGATGTAAAGTTCTATAAATATCTGTGAAATCCTTCTGGTCTGTGTATCATTTAAAGGCCTTGTTTCTTTGGAGATGTTGTGCTTAGAAGACCTGTCGATTGTAGAAAGTGCTACATTGAAGTCGCCAAGTATAAGTGTATTATTACCTAAGTATGTCTTAGCTTTGGTTCTTAATTGATTGATATACTTGGTGGCTCCCACTTTCGCAACATAAATATTCATGATTGTTAAGTCCTCTTGTTGGATAGATCCTTTAAGTATGATATAGTGTCCCTCTTCATCTCTTACTACAGTCTTTGGGATAAACTTTTATTTATCTGATATAAGGATGGCTACCCCTGCTTTCTTTTGAGGACCATATGAATGGTACATGGTTCTCCAACCATTTATTTTCAGGCTGTAGGTGTCCTTATGTGTAAAATAAGCCTCTTGTAAACAGCAAATAGATGGAACTT